GCTTTACTGCAGTGAGACGAGCCATTACAAACACTCAGGCAGACACAGAGCAAACCTACAGAGAAACTGAAGTGTGCCCCAAAGCAGAGCTGCCTACAATGCCTAGGGCTGGCTGGACTTCACTGACACCTCCTGCCATGCTCTGTAGCTGCTGGCAGTTCCCACAACAGAATCATAGAACGGTTTAGGTTGGAAGGGACTTTAAAGATCATCCAGTTCAACCCCCTGGGCACGGCCTTGAACCCCTCCAGGGATGAGGCATCCACAGCTTCTCTGGGCAACCTGGGCCAGAGAAGAGCCAACAGAAGGCTCCATGCAAGCTCAGGCCAAGGGAAGGCAAAACACAAAACTACACCCCACGCCTCCCCCAAGAAAAAGTCCCACCACTACAAAATTCAGAAGAGTCTGATTAAGTTTGTGTCATGTAAATAATACTTAAAAACACCTACAGAAAGATCAGTACTTGGCTTGTGACACCAGTCACTGGTCTTATGGAACACAAACCATACCAGGAAATCAAGGCATGATCAAAGTGAAGATATATACCAAATTGCAGTTTGTAACATCATATTCCATCCAGATAATTGTCTTTATCACTCCAGCAACAGAAACGTAACTATCCAGCCTGAGTAAAATCTCATCCTCCCCTGCTTTAACTGGCTGTTTAGTTAAGATACAGACCATAAACTCTCATCAAGTGAGCATCCAGTTCAAGTAATACTTAACCTTCACTGGTGCTCTTTGCATTTTGTAAGGTATTTGACCCCTAGAATTGCAGGTTCAACCTATTCCTTTGAGAATGAAGATCTGTTTTACTTCGTCCAGTTGATGGCACGTATATACAAATTGATTATTGTACTTTGTATCAACTCTTTCCTAACTGAAAGCTGTTATCAAGCTTCCCTCTATTTAGTTTGTCAGCACAGGCAATAGAAAGTGAAGTCAGCGTGGATGCTAAAGGCTTCGACAGAGAGCAGAGCGCTGCAGAGCACGCTTTTTCTCAGCTGCTTGGATTCAAAGCACAACATGAAACTAATCCCACCTACGGCCTTTTTTGACTTCTGCTGAATGTGGAGAAGGTCCTCAGTGGTTTAATTTCATGGCTTTAATTTCACAGCTACATGAAGTGTGGGGACTCAGGACTGTACACACGTAGCTCTCATTAGACAAACGTGTCAAACTGTCTATTAGCTGCCGCCAGCGCTCCAAGCCAGCAGGAGAGAAGCCAGCACTGACTCAGGGATTGTTTGCCCACAGAGCTCCCAAGAACCCGTTCCTCTCAGAGGGATGTGTGAGCACGGGTGTGCTTCCACACTGTCAAGGCTGTAGGGATTTTGGAGGAGAATTTGTTCAAATCCTGCTAACTTACAACCGGGGCAGCAGCAAAGCCTCTTTGCACCTTAGTCTGTAAACTTGGCCTTATCTTATAAGGTCATCCTAAAAATAATTCTGTGGTGATAGGAGTCCCAAGACCTGAAGAATCTTCCGTCTCATCCCTTATTTCAGCACTTTCAAGACTGATTTGTGGTTTGCTTCTAAAGGACATGGTGCAGCCAACGCCATTGAAATATGACTGACTGCCATTTTTTTCTTTCCTATATCCTATTTATCTTTTTTGCCAGCTATGATTTATGCTCAGTTTTCACACAGAAAGGGGTGGTGGCAAGGGGGAACACAAATCCCACACTTATCCTTGAATATACTAAACACAGTGCAATTCTGCTGGGAAGGCAGCAGCAATATCGACCAAATTATGAGATGTCCCAGCTCTGGAGGCCTGGGATGTGGTCAGTTACGTGCTGGGAAGTGGCCTGCCAAATTCATTTCACAGCAGTCAGAAATCTGCAGTCAGTAATGATTTGGGATGATGAGAATTGGCAACAGATACTGATGAAAAGCATTTTTCCCCTCATTGTAACAGATCTAATCACAAGCACCCACAGTCTAAGTAAGGTCCTGAACCTTACTGCTAACAGCTCATTTATGAATACATAATAAACTAGCAGTTCATTATCTAATACATAGAGTTGCCTGCAAACAAGATGCCTCCCCCCAGTTAACTTTTTCCTGAAGCATTACCTTCGGCTCAATTACTGCTAAAAACATTTCCGTAGCTGTTTTAAGCTCTGCCAAAAATAGTTCAAGCAGCATTTAAAATTAGCATCATTTTGTGTGTGTGCGTGTGCATATATAGATATGTATTTAAAATTAACTTTTTCTACGGATCTCCCTTTTCCTTACCCCCATTGAAAGTTTCAGATTTCACTGTGTAAGCCTAGAAACTCTTCACATGGCAAGGAGCACACAGAAATGTTGGTGCCGCCTCCTGTCCCCTGTAGGTTGTACCCTGGGAGCCTGCAGTGTGAACACTGGAGATAACAGAGAGAAAGCAGCACAATAAGGTTTAAGTTTGTAAGAAAAGATCATGCTCTAGGAAAGAACAGTTACACGTTGGTATTTAAAAGGGAGTCATTGCCATCAGAAAAATCACTGGAGTTTTAGAGGCGCTGGTATCAAGTGATAATAATTTGAGGAGCTGATGGACTAAACTACAGCATCGTGAGCAGCCCGAGAGTTTTTGGAAGTTGAGCACTTCACTCCAAATGACTGCATTCCTGTGGGGACTGACTGGGATTGTGAAGCTGAAAAGAACATTACAATTTGATGGATGTAAAATTGCAACAGAAGAGATGACTTATTTATAAACAACGCTCATTCCAAAAATCGGCATGACACGTCTAAAACCTCAGCCCTTCTGTATTAGTCCTGGTACAGAATGCAGCAACCTTAACGGCAAAGACGTAATCGTTGGGTGCAAATGCCTCAGAGCTGCACCACATCTTATTGAAACTATCATTTTAAAACACTTTTAATACTTTACTAAGGGACATAAATCTCCAGGCTCTGAAACAGGAAGTGCAATTATCTGAATACTGTTGCTTCCAATCAGTTAGCAATAAAAATATGTCAAGGCTATTAAGATGATAAACACTAGATAATTTCATTTTTTTTCCCCCCTCACCAGGGAGCATTAAAAATAAATGACAAAAATGCAAAGCAGCCTTTAGACGTTTCAACAAACCTCAGAGCGTCGGTAGCAAGAGCAACGCAAGAACACTTCAGATATTGACTGGATCTTAAGTGCATTCTTTCAGACAACATAAAGCGACAAGCAAATTAATTCAGAGTGTGAGCAGGTACAACTTACTTTCTTTTCTCAATCAAAGTCACCCTCACACCATTGTGGGCACCGGCTCGGCACAGCACAGTCACACTTTCCTGCTAAACTCAGCCATTTGTCGCAGACGGCATTTCTGTGCGGTCACACACAGCCCAATCTCTCCACCCACTTATCTACAAATCTCCAGTAGATGAGAGAGCCTTAAGCTTTTGCATCAACTTTTTTTCCTACTCTTCTATTCCTCTATAGTTTAACAGCTTTCAGCCTTCAGATCTTAACTGTCAGGAGGTTACAGAGTGGTGCCCGTAATCCCAGGTGCATTTCCAAGCAACGTTCCCAAGAAGCTTTTGATGGAGGCAGAGGAGAGAAAAGAAAAAAAATGCAGAGAAAAGACACAAGAGAACTTCAGAACAGTTTCTGTGAACTTTGATTAATGCCTACGGGTTGAACCTAAGTTATTATGTTTGCACAAAGCTTTATCAGTCAATCTAGCAAACTTCATGCAGTTTCACACAGCAAAATCCTTTCCGTTTCCTTCTTTATGCATATGACACCAGCCTTCTGGAGGGCCTGCAACTGGGTAACAGATTTTAGTGAAACGTGAGGGTTTGGACTTGCAATTTTAAGAAATGATTGTCAGAGTCTTCTGCCTGCGACGCACTCACCTTCAGATGGTGTCACATGGATAAGGGAGACAGCTCCTCTCAGGTGTGCAAAACACTCTCAAATTGGTCCCTGCTGTTGTAAATCCACTTACGGCTCTTCCCAGTTCACTTACTGCCAATTTCACCCACTGAATGCAGTCGGGTGACTAATGGCAGGGACACTTAGTACTTCCTCTTCCCAAAGGCTGTTATATTTTGGTGTGCATGGTGGTCAGAGTCCATTTAACTGACAAATCCACTTTTAAGTCTTTCTCTCCCGGTGGGATAATTTTCCAGGTCAATTTCTCGTTGTATGTGACACTGTCACCTTGGCTTTGACAACAAAGTTTATTAGACTTTCCACAGTGCCTGCACAACAGGCATTAAAGCATTTGGCTTATCCTTCCTTGTCAGCACACCTCACTAAAAGCAGCATCTTTCTCATACATCAGGCTACTTCTGCTAGTTTTGGGAGGGAAAAGAGCATTGTCAAGTTTAACTACCAGTATTTCGGACCATATGGCTCAGCATCCCAATTTCCTTTGGCTCAGCTCTCCTTATCATGGATTGTTTTGGCAACTGGAGTGAAGAACACAAGATACATTTGTAAGAAAGAAATCCAGCAAGAGAACAGAATTCCCAGGGAGGGAAAGGAAAAGAACAACACACTTCTTAAAAATCAGAGATCAGATGGAGGAAGAAATCCAAATCCCCAAACACAAGACCGTTATCTTCACTTTAATTGATAAGAAATTATCCTGATTATCTCAATTTCTGGTACATCTGGCCCTGTTTAGCAGCCTCCTCTTCTAGAGTTTTCTTGCTACTCCCGCTATCATCTTTGAGTGAGATTTAAGTAAACACACTCTCAAGTAAAATGCTGTCATTTACTAAAGCTACATTCTCATGCCACTACAAGTAAGGCCATTCTGGGTGGCTTTTGCCATATGGTTATGGCTGTGAGGTGTGAAGACACAGTCTGCAGAGAACAGCCTGGCTCTCCCACTGCAGAACTGGGCAGCATCATTTAGCACTTTTTCTGTATTTTTTTTTTTTTAAACTTCAGTCCTGGTGGAGGTAACATGCCATATGAGCCGAAACAATGATCTCCTTTGGGTGCTAGTTTTGCTCCCTTCATTCTGTGCTTGAAAAGGAAACACATGAATGACCTCCCAGTCATTAAAAAAAAAAAAAGCTCAAATATGTTTATTTTGGCACAATTTAAAAATATACAAATACATTAAATATCAGGGTTCATTAAAGCCAATTATTTAAAATATATATAGGTCTGCATTATTACTTTGAAGGGAGATGGAAACCAAAACACCACATTATATATTTCATTTGACAGTGCAAACGAGTGAGAAACTGTTTAGACCAGGAGTCCACTGCGTCAGACAGCAATAACAAAAGCTGAACAGTTCCTGAAACACAAAAGAAATAGTAAAAATATCTGCTGCATTTAAAAGAGTCTGCTCGGGGTTGGGGGCGACGACAGGATGGAGAATATGGGAAAGTGAAGAGAGATGTTATCATGGAGGAAAACTTGACGGCACAGAAGTTAGAGCATTAGATGCTTGACATTAAACTAAGTTACAATATGCATTTGAGGATAAGACAGGGTTCAGACAGTAAAGCGACATGAACGATCCTTCAATAATTTCTGTGTAGAAAGAATACATTAGCAACTAAGCAATACAAGAACGCACTATCATTGACAGATTTGCAAGCAGAGACTCCCTGCTTTCAAAGGTGCAGTTTCTTGGCATTATTTGCATAGTTACTCCTTTTCCTTAGCAGTTAGGAAACTATTCAGCAACTAAGTTCAGGAAAAAAACAACCTATGACCTCCAGACATGATTTCTATCTGTGGAAAATCACAGCAGCACAAAGAGGAAAAGACATCAAAATGACAGAAACAAAACTGCCGCCTCCTGAACTTGGAACATACAAACTCTAAAGCACACTTCGTATCGGAAGCTGAAGGGTCTCAAAGTGGCAGCTCCTGCTGTCTTTAGTTTTGTCCAATAGAACAAAAATTTTATGTATCATTGTGGTAGAATCTTACATTCCTCCATACAGCAATTCAGGCTCTTTTTCTGGCACAGGGGCCTCTCATGATTTGTTCTTTACCCCCAATCTTTGTCCTACCTTGCTTGGATGCTACATGGGATCTCATTACCTTGTAAGGAGAGAGATAAAAGTAAATACAACTCCACTGAAACTTACATAAACCCAGGTCTATTCAATAAGATAAATATATCTCCTCCCATCCCTGTTCTCATCTTTTAGCTTTGAACAAGCTTCAAACCACAGAGAAAAGGGAATCTGGATGACAAGGTTTGGACTCTCCATATGGGTGTCATGTCAGCTCAAGACAGTTCTGTTCACATTTTCCTGAAAAAGAGAACCGACTGTTCCAGTTTATGTTCATGCCAGTGGATGCTGATGAAGAGCTTCCAAGTAATTTATTTTAGGAGCACAGACCCATACCGGAGTGCCAGCTAAACCAAAACAGGCAACAGCAACACAGGTAGGTGGGAATGCACAAGCTGCATAGTTATCATTTCACAGATGGTGACAGTGACACTTCGACCAATTTAGCAACCTCAGGTTTTTCACTTTTTTCCCAGTCACCCACTCCTATGCCCGTACCACTGTGCCCATTATGCTGATTTATATGTTCACATGGCAACAGAGTCAACCATGCCAGGAAAAAAAAAAAAACACCTTCTTTTACAGCTACTTTAACTTCCTGATCAAGTGAGTCCTGAGCCACACAGCTGGCATCAGACGGGCAAGAACAAAACATCTGAGAGCAGGAGCTCTCTAGGCTGGCACTTTCAACAAGCTCTGTCATAAGGTGCTGGCCTGCAGACATCAGGCAAATTAACGAAGGGCTTGACCAAAGAAACCCCTTATTGCATTGGCAGAAGTTCACCTGACCTCTCCAGTTCGTCTCAAGACTCACTGACTCGTCTAATGGCTGCACAGCCACCCTGCAAGAACTTTGGTTTCCCTTCCACTTCTGTGTTAAGGGAAGAAAATTAGTGGAGACAGTCTTTGCAGGACAGACATAGCAGCCTATCAGTTACAAAGCCACAGCAAGTGGCTCTTTGTCCAAGGACTGAGCTGGAGTCGATTGGAAAAGCTTCCCAACAAATTCCCCCAACTTGGGATTGGACCCTTACTGACCACAGCCTTCCAAAGCACCAAAAACAACAGGATCTGGAGAGTGGATCTATATTCACAGTTAAAAACCAGGGCCAGCTATGTCATAGGCTGAAGAGGATGCTCCAGGAGGCATCATTTTTTTTTTTTTTTTTGCTTCAGAAGGATACTGCATGTTAAGTATTGTTATATTCTCCTACAAAGGTAAAGCAGTGGCACTTAGTGTTAGCATTGACAAGTGGGTCCTTCAAACAAGTCCACATCCTTGAGTAATCCCAGTGTTTCTGTCGGCCGGCAGCACTGAGACATTCAGCTCTGGGGACACAGAACACATCACAACACAGGAAGAAGAACTTGCCAAAATGGAAAAGTGTACCAAAGAAAGGTAAATTCTTTAAAGATTTTAAAACACAGCATCTGTAGGAGAGAAATGAAACCACAGAGCTGGAATAGTGCATTTCAAAGACCACCAAAGCAGTTCACCAAACTGGATGGAGCCTGAGCAGTATCTTTGTGTGAGTTCATTTCTCTGTTAACATTTGGCACAAACCCTTTGACACAGTAATTGGATTTCCATTTAGGTCAGCTGCTTGCGATGGTTTTCCTGGCACTTCAGTGGATTCAGAAAAAAGTTTCTTCGACACTGTGTACACTTAGAAAGTCCTCAGTCAAGAATGAAGGCTAAACATTGCTGACCCTGGTTTCGGAAGAAGAGATCATAGCAGCAGATGCAGACGTCACTAGTGACCGTTCTCGTCTGACATAGCGCGGCTTCCGAACTGAAAGGGTGGGCACAGAAACACCATTAGCACGTCTTTATCAATAATTCATAACACCACATGCCATCCAACAATTCCTGACTGACCAAAGTCATTCTGGACCTTAAAAAAAAAAAATCAACACAAATCCAAACCACAAAAAAACCCTACATAGAGCTGAGACAGAACAAGCTCACAAACTTTTACAAAAAATCAGGGAGGAAAACTGAGATGAAATTTTTCCCAAGAAATAAGTTTCTGCCTGAGTTTCACACGTATTAAAAACCCACCTTGCCAAAAACAGCCCACCTACAAACACACAAAACAGTATATTCCAAACAGTCTGTGCTATTTGTTTCAAGAAGCTGATAAGCTTCAAATCAGCAAGCCTGAAAATGAGCCAACCTAACATTGGCAAGAAGATTCTAATCTAAAACCTGAAAATAGGTCCCAGACTGAATAATTTCTTTTTGAGCACTTCTGAAAAAATACTGCATCTAATTGCAAGACTTTTCTATTAGGATAGAGAAGTCAAAGATCTATTTTAGGAGCTGTCAAAGATCTATTTTAACACAAAGTACTCCATCAATACTGTATGCCTACATTAATTAAAGCAATAAATCCTACCAAAAAGGTCTACTAGACAGATTTCATTGGATTTCTGTCCCCTCAAGAGATTTCCACACTTCTATACCAGGCGTTAAAGGTAACTGTGTGTTCTTAGCACATCCACTTGGAGATGTTCTATACCAGGCGTTAAAGGTAACTGTTTTGACTTGCTGTGTGTTCTTAGCACATCCACTTGGAGATAGTTAGCCTGCTTTTCAATTACAACATGCATTCAAAGGGAAGCCAACAGGTAAATATTTGCAGCAGCATGCCCCAGAGAAGAGTTCCTCACCTGAAGAAGCTGGGGGAGGTATCATGGACGCCTGCATAACAGAAGAATGATCATGTCAAACAAAGCACCTTTTGTCTCCACAGTCTTTCATTAAAAATATATAGGAACGTTTTAAGGCTCTGATAATATTTACTGTGTACACCATCTTTCTTGGAGAAAGTAACTCAATAGAATCCACACGGTCAGTATTCATCTTTCACTTTTTTTTCCAGTTTGGACAAAGAACCCCAAAACATCTTTTATTTTTATTTCAGTCTCTCACACATCAGATTAAGTAGCTCTTTAATGAACTGTTAAAACTTTAAGTTATTGTTTACATGATGGTTTATGCTTGCTTGTTCCTATGGGAAGGACAGAATTTACTTACTGTTTCACTAGGCTGGAGAACAGATGCTAAAAGAGAGAGAAAGAGAGAGACTAACCATCATTATTCTAGAAGGCTAGAACTGCTAGTTTTCTAAAAATACATGCGTGCAACAGAACAGTTCTATTGTTAAAAAAAAATTGTTTTGTCACAAAGATTACCAAAACAGATCAGAACATTCAGAAATGCCATTAGTAGAACACATTGCCTGTAGGACTCTTGTCAAGATTAGAGACAAAGGATTGCAAAGGTCTCCAAGAATGACTTATTTTGCTTTCAAAGAAGGGACTCACAGGAGTATCTCTTTAATATGAAGAAGCTTCAGTAGGAAAAATAGTGCTTTGAGCCAACTACCAGAAAAAGACAGTACAAATAGAAAAAAAAAACAACCCAAAACAACGCACAATTGAGCAGTGAAAGATGCAACACTTTAATACAAGCTGTTGCTGTCTTTATTGGCCACATGACAATCACCATCCAGACAGAATGAAAGGTATAAGCAGCCAGACAAATGTTTCTAATGCTTCTCCTTCAACGAAGGACACCAATGCTTTAGCCTGCAGGACCAGAGTGAACACCAGTACAAATGTGTTCCAGTATCACTGAAGCCTCAACAGAGGTCTGATGTCCTGCCAGCTTAGAAATGTCATAGCACAAAAGCTCCTGACCTACTTAAAAACTGAAGGAGAATCTTGTACTAGACTAAATTTACTTGAAGACACATGCAAAAGCAACACAGAGGTTTTAGTATGGCAGTTGTTCCTGTAGCACTGATCAGTTTAGACCTTAGCTAGCTCCTGTTGTAGAGTTTTACATGAAATGATACCATAACGAATGGAAATGTGATGTTCATGAAGTTACCATGATTAAATACAATATTCTTAGCCAAACAACGGAATCGTATCGCTCTACCCACCCCCTTCTTTTTCTCTTTTTAAGTTTATTTCTGTTATGACAGTCTAGCTTGAGCTTAGTCCTGTAAGACATGAATGAAAATAACAGGAGTTCTATCTGTTTAGCAGATTAAGGAGTAAACAGCTTGCTTTCAACAGAAGGAGCTCTAACACAGCAAATGCTGTGCTAGAGGTTGTCATGGGAATCATTTGAAGTGACTGCATAGAAGGGGCGAGACAGAAACTCATAGAGCAGCCCCAGTTTCACACAAACACTGGGCAAAACGGAGACATCAGCTTCCACATAGTTTGCTCTCCACCTCCCAGAAATGGAAGACCATAGAACAACTTCACAATAAACTGAGGCACCTGAAAGAGCCAGGTATCTCCATAAAGTCCTGGTGCCCTATGGCTAAGCACATCCCAGGTGTTCTTTCCCTAGCTTTTCTGAAATCACTTCGGCATGAAGTCAGGTCACTGCATCTTAGTTACGTGGCTTTATTTCTCAGTAACAGGAATGACAGAAATAAAGGATAAATGTCAGTATAAAAAGATTATTCAAGGGGTATTTGCTTTAAAAAAGTAATAATAAAGAAAGTCAGGCAGTTAGGTCTTCCAAGCCCCAGTAAATCCTGCATTTAGAGAGCAAACACAGTAGTGCAATGAGGAGGAATCTCAAATTCCATTCCCTCTCTCCTGCTGCTGACACATCCACGGTAAGCACACCGTCATTTAGTATTAGTCCCCTTCTCTCTAAACCAGGAATAAACAACACCTGCTTTTTGTAAGGCTTTATAGATGTTTAGCATTTTGTGTTCTGAAATAAACAAGTTATTAAGTTCTATACTAATGCCTTCTGTGCAAAATGCACTGACTGATTTCCTGCCCCTTTTTGAAATCAGATATCTAACACTCAATGACAACTAACATCAATATCTAATACTAACATCAAGTATTGTACCCTGGCAAATCTTTGAGAGCCTCAAAAACCAATAGGTGGGTTAGCAAGAGATGCTGTGTAATATGCACCTAAGCACACTGAGATGGAGAACACACCTCTGCACTGCCATGAAAACACGATGCTGTAAACACGTAGCAGGAGAAAATTTTTAATTAGTTGGCATGGCTTTGGATGATCAAAAGAGAGAGCAGTAACTATATGAACTCAGAACACTGACATGAAGAAATTTAAAAAGGTTTTAAATTAAGAAACTGAGCCAAGGCCAAAACTCTAGAGATTAAGTAGACAATTAGAGGTATTTTACCTTTGTTCCTTCTGTAGAAAACATTAGGAAGTTTATTGGCACGTTTGAGGTAGAAGAAAGAAGCAACAGACAGAATCAGGAATAAACTGATGAAAAATGTCCCTAAGATGAGAGATGCTGCCACTTCTGGGCCCCCTGTACGAAAAAAACATGAAAGAGAGAGAGAAAAAAAAAAAAGACTATTATTCACTAGAAATTCTAATAGAAGGGTTAAACAAAAGGTAAACACCAACTTCCTGGTATTCACAGGAGAAAAAAAAAGTGTGGTTTTTTTTTTTTAAATATACAGACAGACCTCACTGAAAACTTGCTAAGATCTTTGAATACTCATTTCATTATATGAACAACTCCCCAGTCCCACCTGCCACATGTCAGTACAGGCTTGGTCTCTACTTTCCTGAAGATAGCCACAAAATTTCAATCCATCATTATGTTACTTTTCATAGAATCCTAGAATTCTCTCTTTTACATAACTTCAAAGCCACTGCTTTGTTACAGAGGTGTTACATGTTGCCTCACCCCTAAAAACCAAAACTCTCGCAGCATAAAGTTCAAAACTCAAGTTCTGGGGTTTCATAAAGAACCAGCTCAACCAGTACCAGAAAATCATTTCAAGATCAGTGGGCCGAGATGGAAGAACCATTGAGTAAAACACAGGTACCTCAAAATTCAGCTCAAAGACTTGTAAAAGATTCTTGTTGAGAACAAGCAAGAAAGAGTAAAAATGGCTAAACCTTGAGAATAAAAGCTATGTTACAGAAAAACATACTTTACAACTGGTTTCAAATGCCATGTCGTGAAGGGGCTGGGAGGCAGTGAATAATGACAAAGCCTGCATTCAAGAGTTGTTTCCATTTACTCACCGATGTTATGTATGAAAGGAGTTACGGTGCTGATATTCATTTGGAAATTCATTCCTCTGATACCAGCTGTAATGAAAAAGAATTTTTTGAAGTAAAATCTGACACAAAATACAGATTTGTTGAAAATCTTAGTAAAAGGCAATTATACTTGTCAACATATATTTGAAATTGTGTAAGAACCCTGATTTCTCCCGTGGAAAAATTCATTCTTTATGTCACCTTTAAGTATTTAAAAAAATGGAAGCAAACAAACACCACCACAATTTGTACAAAAAGAAAATAATTCACCGGTGCATTTCCCAGAAACTTAGATCAAGTTTCTCATCTCTTTCATTACAAAGATTTACAAGGAATTGAATGGTTCTCACCTCTCAAACGAAGCACATGTATAAAATGAATCTAACCTCCTTAATATAGATTTTTTCAAGGAACTCAAGTACAGTCTGAGCTATTTTGTGCTCTGGAGAAGTCCCCAGCAAACGCCCACAGCAAATGCTTTTTTCTTACAGTAGATTAAAACAGTCACAAAATTCTGCATTCACTGTCTGTTTGATACAGGTCCTACCCTGTAAGTTTAATCATTTTGATGTTTAGGACTTTGCTTTTTTATTTTAAGAACTTACATTGGTCAGAATGATTTTATTATTTTTTTAATCTTGCATTTGGTTAGGTACTTTAATACATAACAAGATTTTCATTCTCCCCTCCTCCTCCTAGATTGTGGGAATGATTCCACAGCACTCTGCACAGTTTCTACAGACTAAATTTCAAAGTTCCCATTGGTTTTGTGGCATGTTCAAAAGCTCAAAGTAATATTAGGACTCTGGAAAAGGTTGAAGTTTTACATGGGAGGGAAGAAAAAAAAAATCTGCAACATTTAATGCCTTCTTGGACTATATAAGAAGAGATCTTGGTACCAAAAAACACCCATTAAAACAGCGAGATGGTAAATGACTCACTATTTCTGCATTCAGTCAGGTTGTAAACAGATGAAACAGGGAGGGTTTCATTTTTGCATTTAATGCAGCTGCTACTACCGTCCTCATTCCATCGTCTGTAACAACCTGCACAAGAATAAGATGTACAGTGGTTTGAAAACAACAAAAGCATCACTGGAGAGATTTCCTAGTCTTCAGAAAGAGGTAAAGGCAACAGAAATTCCCTCCTCTGTGTCTACTGGTTACAAACATCACCTGCTTCTTCTTACCTTACACAAGTTAAGAGGTTTAATTTCAAAGTGTTTATTCCAGAAAAGACATAACCTTTCAGGGGTCAAAAAGGAGAAAGAGCAAACAAATCCCAGAATTTCAACATCGCTCCATTCACTGCTTCACATGTTTTAGTTGGGAGAAAAATGCCAAGTGTCTAACAACCTGCAACTACCACCAACAATACTAAAAAAGAAGCAGAACTTTACCATTTCTTTTCAGAGGTCATATACTGTTGAAATAAAATTTAATGCCATTTCAATATATAGCATTGAAAATAGGAGGAGGCAGAGACAAAGATGCTAAGAACCAGAAAGAGTGTACTTGGATGAAAAAAGACGCTGGCATCCCTATAGTCAATCACCTGAAGCGTGGTGAGCTAAAAATACAAATACTGTCATATTACAGCCTTTTTTCCATGCCTCAGTCCTCTCAACTACTGTACTATTTGTTTCACTTTAAGAACCCCCCAAGCCTGTTTAAACTATTCTGTGACAGATGGTGAGTGTTTTATATCAGTCACCCTACCATGCAGGCTGGAAACTGATTAAACTTTCATCTTGGCCTTTGTCTTCCATGCTCAAATCTCTCTATTTATGTTTAAATGCACATACTGCTATGTCTTTGTTAAGAAAAAAGAAAAAAAAATAGGGCACATCTTCAATAACAACTTCATTTAATACAATAAAGCCATGGTGGTTTCACTTGAGGCTTAGACTTGAGACATGAAGATTAGAAGTATATTCCTACTAGATCATATTACAGTCTACATTTAAAGGAAAAAAACTTATTGTGCTGGCTAAAATCCAGTTCTATAGAGCCTTTAGCCAAACTGGTATCAATTATCCCATAAAGCAAACCATTAGTAAGGTGCTGATTTGAAAACAGCTCTGCTCCTATGTTTTCCTTAGAGAGAAGCGGCACATTTGATGCCCACAGTAATAAATTATATCTGACATTTAATCTAAACACAAACAGACCCAATGTAAGGGCAAAGACTTTCTACAGCAGTAGGAAGGAAGCATCAAAGCACTTATCTGACACCAAAGATATTGGTGGATTATCAGTTAACAATAAGATTTAAGAGAAGACAATCCCATAACTTGGAGACAATTGTTCATGCTACATCTAAGATCATTTAGAAGCAGAAACGAATGCACTAAATGAAGCAACAGTTAGAGAAGCTAAAGAAGCAGTGAGAACAGACAGGCTTAAAATGCTTTAACAAACACCACAAGGAAATGACTGAACCCAGAAGTGGACCCCAATTTTTAAGCCACTAATTCTCTTATTACTAGGGGCTCTGAAGCCATTTTCATGCTTTTACTCTTTGATTTTAAATAAAATGGAATTAAGAAAACCCAACAAACCACTCTCTTGCTACTTCTGGAGAGTGACAAAAGAAGTTTTTAATTCCATTTAGAAGAAAACAGCTCTACATATATGGCACAAGGAAAAATGAGGCATTCTCTGCTAACAAGACAATATGGAAATTATTCTTAATGCTCCTTTAGATATGCATTACAGCATTTTTGGTTTTTATGCTCATTACATAGGCTTTTAGGGCTTTTAAGCATTTACAATACCTCATACATAATCCAACTGTACATTAAATAAAAAAGATAAAGAATAACCTTATTAATAGTTGTCTATTCTCCTTACTATGCAAGAACAACATTTGTGAGTCATAAGAAGCATTATCTTGTGTATAAAGAGGAAGAAAGACTTCAACGTGTACATGCACTAATTATTTTGTTTTCACTCCCCAATTAATCAGCTGCTGTATTTTGGTGTTAACAGTCAAAAACAATATCTGGAATTTTATTAAACAGTGACACACTTTACCTGGACTGCACTGGTTGGTTACTGGACAGGAACTGTTTGAATCCAACATATCCACACAGCATTCTGTTTCTGAAACCTAAGAAAAGAAATTACATTACATTTCACACAGTTCGAGAGTTTACTAAAATGCTTCAACAACAACAACAAAATCTACAGAGAACATAGAGGAATAAGCAGTAACTGCTGTTAAAATTTGCTGTAACGTTTTATTTTTGCATTAAGCAACCCTACAAGGAGAGAACAAGCTAGATGTACTATCAAGCTGACTTTGACCTGGCAGCTGCTCCCCAAACTAACACTTTGAGAAAAAATACACGCTTTGCTGTTGATATTGGACAAAGTCTCAAAAAACTGCTTAAGAAATATACTTGCTAAATTCTTTGGTGAAGCATGCTACAGAGGAGGAGTGTACCCTTCATAGAATCATAAAATGGTTAGAGATGGAAGGGACCCTAAAGATCATCCCGTTCCAACCCCCCTGCCCTGGGCAGGGACACCTCCCACCAGCCCAGGTTGCTCCAAGCCCCCTCCAACCCGGCCTTGAACCCCTCCAGGGATGGGGCAGCCACAGCTTCTCTGGGCAACCTGTTCCAGTGCCTCACCACCCTCACAGCAAAGAATTTCTTTCTAATATTTAATCTAAATCCCCCCTCTTTCAATTTAAAACCATTACCCCTCGTCCTATTGCTACACTTCCTGACAGAGTCCCTCTCCACCTCTCCTGTAGCCTTCCTTCAGACACTGGAAGGGGCTATAAGGTCTTCCTGGAGCCTTCTCTTCTCCAGGCTGAAGTGCTCCTTCCCACAGGTTGTGGTTACACAAATGCCCTAACAGATTTGTTCAGAAATACTATTAGCAAAATGAGTGGCAAACCCCAATTTTCAGTGAATGCCCATATTGCAAGTGACGATAACATCTCCATTCTGCGGAGCAATCCAGCAGAACTACAAAAGCTTATTCCTTAAACAGTTAATATAAAAGAATAACTTCATGTATCCTGAAGGCACATAGTTTATTTTTATTTTTGTTTATATACAAGCCAGTTTCAAAATTATTTACAAATTACAAGCTGTGACATAAGCTCAGAGAGAAAATGTTGTTAGAAACTCTGTGGTTCTTTATATAAATATTAGTAACATCCCACATAGACTTGGGCATATCCACTCTCTGAACCTGTACAAAAAAAGTAAGCCAAAAATCTCCCACGTCTTTTAAAGTTTTGCAGGTACATTTCCCTAAAGAACAGAGCAAGTCAAATCAGTTTTTAAAAGGGATGAAGTATTCTTAGTCAGAAGTAGCAAGACCTAATCTATATTCAGCCACAGAAGTAACTTAAATATGCCTAACATGTAACAGCCAGTATTATTCTGCTTATCAGGGAACACTATCAAATCCAGGGATTAGGAAGATGAAAGCTATCAGGAGAAATGGTTGGGAGTGTCAAAACTGAAATTAGTGGGCTGACTTCACACTGTTAGCACATCATGGGGAGGTGGACTACAGTAAAGAACCAGAAGATCTGCAGATAACATGCTTAACACCAGTTTCTTATAAAGTTTTGTTGGCCGAACTCTCCTGCAAGCAGGATTTTATACTCTGACCTTTTTCTGCAACTTGAAGCAGTGTCTGCTTCAGAGCTTCTCAGTCATTTGAAAAGTTAACTTTTGGGCATCCATGTTTAGGATTGTTTGTAATTAAACTGCCAAGCAGCTTGAAAAGTGGGGTTTTTTTTGATCATCAGGGTGTTTTTTCCACACGGTGTGAGGCGTTATCAGTTGCATCCCTGTGAGCCTACAAGCACATGACTAGGAAAAATTCAATGCTTCACTAGGCAATGAGCCATCATAGCAAATTGACCCACCGTTAAGTTTCAGTTAATGACTCTTAGCAGTATAGATCATTTCTGTTGAATTAGAAAACCTTCTATAAACTGCAACGTGAGAGGAAAATAGTCTGATCCGTCTGTTTTTATAGCACCTAGCATGACAAAAAACATGAAGTACCTACCGAACTTTCAGTAGATTTGCTGACAACTTCTGCTACGAGTCTAGTTAAGAGAAGGACATATGGCACCTCCATGCCCAGGAAATACACCGGTCTAAATAAAAACAGGGAAAGAAATTAGAATGTTTTATTAATGACAGAGAAGTTTTGCTTTCCCTTTGTTAAGAAACTTTTGCCAACACATTCCTTTTATTTGAATGCAAAGGCCTTTAAATTAAATATGCCAGGGGCGATGACTTACCTTGGTTCAAGATACAAATTTGAGACATTCAGTATTTTCCCTCCAGCTGCAAAGGGGCAGGTTTCTGGCTATGGCAGACTGTGGTTGCTAAGAGACAAGGAGCCTTATCAGTCTGCTCCAAACTGGGCCATGCAGAGACTGTTCCACACCCAGGATCTAAAAATCAATGTGATTGCAATAGAACAGTTACCGCCTGGCACCACCACTGATAAGCCTCCCCACGGTTACAGGCTCCTCTGGCAGCAGCATTGAGCTGTGATGGATTTGTATCAGGACAGAGAGCACACGCCACTCTGAAAAGGCAATACTGCAATTAATTTCTCCCATGACAGCACAGTCATGAAGCATTAATGAAGTCTGTCTGTTAATAAGTAGTATTTCTCAACTGTTCCACGCTGAGAAAGTCTGTTCTCAGGCAGAATATTGTGGACAGTCTGCTACAAGCCTTAAGGTTTTTTTTCCCCTTCCACTTTCGCCATATAATTCCACACATAACCTAAAGACAGTCCACATTTCTTACATTAAATTGTTTGGACAAACTAAAAGGCACCACGTCGTGCTTGATCTGCATTGTTGAGACACTCCCTACGTCAATATTATAATATCTGCCTATTCTCTAGTCAATATAATGTTGGAAGTCACATCCAGTTCTCAGGAACTACTGTACCTGCAGCCTGGTAGCTTCAGGAAGAGAGTCTTTTATACTATAAATAAAACACGGGGACAGACAAGGTCCTCTAAGCAGAGCTTAAGAGGGAAGTGTCTGCAAGAAAGCTTTTGACTGCAAGGGAAAACTCCTTCGGTGACTCATTTCACAAACTGAAATTTGTTACTATTTTTATTAAATAAAAATCCAGTGGATGAGTTTTAAGTTACTGCAAAATATGCATCACGACCCTTGCCAAGCTATTTTTCTGAAGAACAAAAATCATTGAGCAGTTCCTGCGATTAATTTCCGTTCAGTCTTTTTAAATCACACGTAGCCTTGTTGCCTTAACTTCAAAACAAGATTAGTTCAGCCTGGTGGGAAAACTTATTATTATCCTCTGCTATCAGCTGAAAGCTCCAATATCAAGGACTGAAAATCCTGAAAACCAAACTCCAGTTTTTTACTGCTACAACTAATTTCGACAGCGAGGATCGGGGCAGAGCAGGAAAAGCTTGCACTGTCGTGATACCTTCCAATTTAAGTGTAAAAGTGGATGTCAAGTGTGTCAGCATCAAGCTGCAGCATCCAGGACTTCATCAGTTCACGTTTAGATACATATAAATAAAATGACACTGATGATAAAATGAAAAGCAGCCAGTCAATATAAGTGCACGATGCGTGCAATGCCAGCTGACAACGGCCGAGAGAGCGCCCGGTCACCAGTAAGAGCTAGTTCCCTTCAGGAATGGTACCACCACCAACCACATCCTGGACTGAAAATTAAGATGGATTAGGGCAGTTTCCAGAACTGCCAAAAACAGCAGGGGGAAATTTAGCTTGGGCAATTTTACACAAGGACGGAAAGATACATTTCTAATCTACAGCTAAGCACATCAGTTGCTGACTAAAAAGCTTTAATGCTATTTTTCAGGCAATACCTGAGGTGACAAGACACCTCAAATGCAAACATGCATTTTAACAAAAAGGTGATGTCATCTCAGAAGACAAAAGGAGACAACCTTTCTGGAATGCAGCACACACCCCAAAAAGCTTAGAGCTTTGATGGTAACAGTTCCTTCTCGAGCGCGTTTGAGCAGAACAGAAGCCACTTATGACACTGTAAATGATCGCTGATGGAGGCATTGCCCTTACAGAGTTTGACAGAGAGCTTCCACTTGTGTATAATGGTGTAAAAGTACCTATATAAATACTATGAATAATTCTGCTTTAGATCACACTGGGTGTATTAATTTGCACATTTAACCTTTAAAAACCAGGTGGGTTTTTTTTGTTTTTATGCCTTTCTGGTACAGTATAAGTTGAGTAACACAACTTTGAGGTTTTTTGAGGCAGTCCAGCAGTGTCTAATATTAAAACGATCCTCAGGATGGGCATTGAGATGGATGGTTTTTAAAAAAATACAGAGTTTGCCTTATTACCTATCAGTTTTCTACACTCTATTTCAGAAATGAGATACTCCTTTTCGGCTGAGAAAAATTTCCTCTAGCGAAAATAGTTAAGAGTTGGTAAAAACATCTGCTAATAAATGCTTCATCATTTTGGATGCTATGCACAGATTTTTGTCAATACCTGATTATTATAATAACTGTAAATACTAAGGCAGATAAAAAAGGCATTTCTTTAAACAAGTATATTCTTGTTATCTGGAAAAATATTTTTTTTTTCAGGAACAAGTCATACTAAACAAGAAAACATTTATGAAACTAGCCACTTCTAAGTGCAATAGCTATACAGCATAAGCTCAATATTGGTTGTATTTCCATTCCTGAAATACATGAAGATACTAATCAACAATACTGTGGCATTTACGGGCAGATATTTGTTCACAGCCAGTAGTGATTCTAACAAACTAGAACATCTGCCCTGCAGCTGTTCCAGTAGAAATAGGACACGAGATCTATTTGCCCTCAACTCATCAGCCAATATTTTTTATTTCTGTGAGAGAGAGAGACAGTATCTAAGCTTTATATATATATATTTGTTGTTGGTTGTTTTTTGTTTGAGTCACTTTTAACTGCAGTAAAAAAACCAAAACAGAGATGAACAAGCCACTTTAAAGCTCCCAAGCACATTAGATGTATGTTATATTCACTCAATTTACATTTTACTCCAGGTCCCAGAACGCTTCTTGACATCCTGCTGGATTCTTTATCAGCCAGTAAAAATTAGAAGATTATTAATATAATATATAAATAACACCTGTCTGAATGAGGGAGGCGTTCAAGCCTTTAAGGTACACTAGATATCTAGGGTTTTTTAGGGTAATACACATGAAAGATATCAGACTTAAGCATCCATATTCTTTACAGGTAATAATATGAAAATCATATATAGTGTTCCTAAAGTCTGGTTGTGCCACATCCCAGCAAGGTTGGAGAGAGCTTTTGACTTGTAAATTAAGTGCAGAACTTCCAAACAAGACAGCAGCTTCAACTAGGGATTTGTACTGTTAATTGGTCTCCTTGTACAAAACCACGGAATTAACACAATTTATTTTACTGCTTTCCAGCCACAAGTTAATCATAACCATTCTATTGCCAATATGAACAATATTTTACACCATAATTTTAATCTTAGAAAGGAAAAAGCCCTAGAACCTCCAAGACATTCAGTATACCCAAATACTGATCATGCCTCTGAATGAGGTAAGTGAAATTTTAGTTTTTAAATTAAATACATCAGAATTTGATCAGAATCAGACACCCACAGTAAAACAATTTACAATCCCATGGAATATGTTTCATGTTTGGCAGCGTCTTCTCTTTGAATTATGGAAAAAAAGATAATGTCATGCACAAACTGGAGCCCAAATTAGAAAGTATTTATTCTTGAGATGCCAACACAGTTTTGAGAACACAGACATTTTAATTAAAACAAGTATTTCACACCAGAGTTCCACATTTGAAACAAATCTCAAATCACTGTCAACGTGGATCTCAAGTGCCACAATACACAGAAGCTAAATACGTCAAGATTCACTAAGGGAATTCTTCCTCTTCTTGTTTTTGAAAAAAGAACACAAACAATTCACGAACACGAAGCACTAGACGACTTTTTCCTCCCACTCTTGGAAGCAAGTGTTGTTTAATTCATCTTTATGCCTACGTTTTCTATACACAGAGCTGTGTATCTATCATTTCTGTTGTATTATCAGTATCTTGCCTGCTTTAAATGTTGCTGGAGTATTGTTTGAGCTAGGTATTTTTTTCAGGTGCACAGAAAGGTGGTTTTATCATTCATTCAGCAGATCAAGTTTGAAACTATATCCCATTCATTCTGCTGCCAAAGGCATCTTAATTCTGATATGACCTTAAATTAGTCATCATAAAACAGTGATACCAGAAAAGTTAAAACACAGTCTCACAAAGGAAAGGCCTAAACTGTCACTTACCAGCTCCTTCAGAGGTACACACTAGCACACTGCATCTTCCTTTGGTAACACTGAACAGTTGTGGTATGTGGTTTACAGCTAATTTCTCATTGACGCTGGAACTGTTTCACAATAAACCTGCACGGTAGGAGAACAGATATGGGTTGTGCTTAGAACAATATTTTATAAATTAAAGATGAGGGAGGACTTGTTTTTCCAGCTTTCTTAACATGTACCCGTGCAAAGAACTACTATCCCTACCCTTACATCAAAATGATTGTGTAATAAGCCAGCAACCAACAATTAAAAATACACACCTTCTGCCCAAGACAATCAAGATAACTACTTTAAGCTAAGCTTTGCTTCAAAAGCAGTTACACACCTGGAAGGTGCCTAGAGCAAACTCTAGTTATCACCAACAGTTACTGTTGTTCAGTCAACAAAAATCTGGCAGTGAGATGTTCTGCTATTACAACAGTCACTGCAGCCTTAAAAATTGAGAGCAGAAATGAAGACTGGTGTGATTTGGTTGCCAAAGGTATCGCAATACACTTTGCAAACTCAACATATGCATGGCCTATTCAGGGTTTTGTTGGGTTTTTCAACCCCCAGACAGCACGACAAAAATCTGTGTTATAAAGGTAAATATTTGCTTGAAGTTTATCCAGACAAAAAACCCAACCAACCACCAAAAGAACCCTAAATCCCACCAAACACCCACAACCCTATAAAGTACCCTATAAAGTCTCAGATTGCCAAAAACTGTAGTAAAAGGAGTGTGTTTATTACTCATGGTCAGGGCTTGGAGCAACCTGGTCTAGAAGAAGGTGTTCCTGCCCAGGGCAGGGGGGTTGGAACTAGATAATCTTTAAGGTCCCTTCCAACTCTAGCCGTTCTATGATTAGGAGAAATGTATCCAAAGTTTTATTCGACCATGAGAAAGAGATGATTTTTTTTCCAAAACGTGTATGGAGTATACAGCCCTTCAACTGTACCCTCAGGAACCAAGCAGCCCGGAAAAAAAAACCAAAGGGGCAAGACTGAGAAAAGAGGGGCGACTTTTTTCCCCACCCCCTCGGGTGAGGGGCTTTTTCTGAGGGATGGCGTGTGCTCTGTGCTCCGGCCGGGTGCCTCCCTCGGTAAATACACCTCTGGCACCGGGACGCCGGCCCCAGCTCCCCTCCTCACACACACCAGGCGGGACAGAGTGACGGGGGGGGCCCTGGGCAGCGGCTGACAGGGCCCGCGGCCGCGCCAGAGCCCTCACCGCCTCGCCTCACCTGCCCGGCGGCAACTCCCACGCCCCAAACAATAGGGCAACGCCCGGGGGCTCCACCGCCCTCCCCGGGGCCTCTACCGTCCTCCTTCCCTCCCGCCGCCGCCTGAGGGAACCGGCCGCCCTCCCCTGCCGCCTCCTTACCTGAGGGAAACAAGCTCCGGCAGCACCGGCGGCAGGTTCCCTTTCGTACCCCCCGCCCTCCGCCGGCGCCCTGCCCGCTACTTCCCGCGGCACCCTGGGAGTTGTAGTTCTCGCTCTGGCGGCCCACGCGCAGGTTCCCCCGAATGTCCCCGCCACCTCGGAACTACAAGTCCCAGCACCCATCGCTCCGCGCCTTACCTGTGTCCCTCCTCCTTGCAGGTAAATCCCCTCCCTCAGCCCGTTCCCCTCAGCACCGCCCCCCCCGCGCGGTGCCTACTGGGAAAGAGAGTCCCGCCTCTGGAGGCGCCGCCATTTTAGGCGTTGCTCGGCGACGCGGACGCCCCGTGAGGGAGAAGGAAGCGGCAGGTGGGCAGGCGGGAGAAGGCCTATTCACCCGTCCCTCGAGTCTTCTGCAAAGTGGGGGATATCCCGATGAAAGGATTAAATATTTCATTAAAGGAGTGTCAGGGTAGGGGACACAAGGAGGCTTGGGCACATCTGAACTCCTCCCAAGCCTTCACATGTTACACACGTCCTGTGGTAGTCACCTCCTGACAAGCACCTGCATATCAGAGCAGGGGAACTTTTGAGAAATGCAGGGCAATGCTCGTGTCCGACAGGATGACACCCTCATGCCTCAGCCCAATTAAATGCCAAAAATGTGGCAGAAAAGGCAGGTTCTCTTGGCAAAAAATAAGGCTTGAAACGGGTGGGAAGACAAAAGCTGCATTTCTGAGCTGGAATCTACACCTTTGTGCAACAGAATTTGCTTAGCTCTGGAACAGGAGAATTAAAATTTGTTCCACATTTTGTAACAAGTTTGAAATACAAAGATTATAGACAATGCGAAGCATGATTTGAATAAAGATATCAATTCTATAGAATGCCTTTTTTTTTTTTTTTTTTTTTTTCATGGAAATACTTTTTTCCAGTAAGGAAGAAAGTATCTCATTGAGTGTAATGAAGAATAAAAATATTTACCAAGAAAAATATTTACGAAAGAAAGAGCATTTATATAACTGTGCAGATGAAAACTAAACTCAGCTTCTTACAAATTTCCTTATGTGGATACCCCAGAAGAACCGCGATTTACTGTGGTGCTTTTTTTTTCCCCAAAGTAGGCACAATGTTGCAGAGCAGAACCTAGAATCTCAGAGAAAGACCTGAGTGTGCTACTTATTCTCAAGACTGAAGCAGTCAGCAGGAAAAAGCTTTCACTGAACTTTTGATACAGCAGCGCTAGAGTTTCTCTTACAAAGTGTGGATACAGGGTATAATTCAGTACACTTTGCTAAAGAGAGATGAAAATGGGGGAAGTGGGTGGACAGGCTTGTTTGCTTTCTGCTCTTTTTGTGGAGCACCCAGCGATGCACAGAATGCAGCTTCTGATAAATACGCAGAGTAGCTGAAGTGCTGAAACAGCAAGCAAATTGTTGTCATCGGTTTCATTTGCAGTTACACAGAACTTTCAGAAATGCCTAATTTGCATATTAGCAGAACAGTTAAAACGATTCTCAAATACCTTTAGATTCAGTGAGTTACGAGATGCAAGAAACACACATAAAATTATACTCTGACAAAGTATTTTGATTTAAAAGCACTACTTCGTCTCAATATCAAATTCATCCTTATGTCTTCAAAGATTAAGCCTTCTGCCTTTTATTCTGCTACTAGCTATAAAGCTTGCAATGACTTCATAGCCAGGAAAAACATTTCTCGCCTTCTTTTCTGAGCCATGTATTGTGGTTTGCATTACTTCATATATGTGTCTCTTGAAATTTGTTCCGCAGCTTCGTAAGCTTTTCGTGATCCTTTCCCACCCCAGCCTTCTATCAGCATCTCACAAAATAGGACACTTGGCTGAACACAAAGTGTGACAGCGTGACTGGAATTTTTCTTGCCTAACAGATTCGATGCATGTAAGGGGCTGTGATTTAAATCCTATGAATAGTTTAGTAGTTGACACCCAAACTTATTGCGTTTCTCCATAACCAGTTACGCTATAAAACTCCGTATCTTTTTCTAAACATGTCTGTGCAGAACAAGATATGCTACTTTCAAGTTTATAGATGGAGGAAGGAAAAGTAGAAATTGGGAATTTTGAATTGAGGGTCAACAAACATCTTAATTTACAAGGCAGAAAATAGTTCTGCACATGGACGGGCATATCTTGCTTTTTTTAGTGGTGGGTTTTGTTGTTGTTTTGGGGTTTTTTTCCATAATTCAGAGGGCAGCATTGCTGCGAAATAAAATTGCTGGAAAAGAATTGTAGATGCTGGCAAAAAAAAATGAATACATTAAATATCTCTCTTTCTGACTGGCCCCTTAGTTATTGCTACTGCAGCACTAAAACTAAAGTGCAGACCTTCAAAACTAGGTTGCTGCCCATGAGCACATATTTTACCAGAACAAAAGTGTGAGTAAATGAACGGGACATACAGTTCAAAGCGCTTTTTGCAGTGACCTTTCCAATCTGAGGGTGGGGGAAAAGTAGGAGTTTATGGAAAGTTTCATTGTGTGAAAGTGCAAGCTGCTACAACAATTAACTACTACCAGATACGTGATTAATAAAATCTTTTCCAAATGTGTCTACTGTACCTCAGCAGTGCTTTAAAAATAATTCTTACTGTATTAAATTATGCCATTCAGCTCTGTTTATTAAGGTTTTCTCATACAACATGCCCAGACATCTCTTCAAAGTGATGTTGGCAGATATAACTTTGCAGTGGTTTTCACTGTTATATATTGTTTTGAACACTTGGCAGGAGAGGTGTCAAAATTAACATTCCTTTAGTAGACAGAGAATTACAAATTGCTTCAAAATAAACAAAACAACTATTATTGCCTGTTACTTAACGGAAAGATCTAATCTGTCAACTCTATTGTCAGTCTGCGAGAAAGGAAAATACTCTTTTAGATCATATTATCCATTTTCTCTGGAGGGTATTTCCAGTATATCTGTATAATATATAGGCATCTCCAGAAGTTTCTACAGCTGAGAGGAAATTGCACTTTTGCTATTTTTGGAGGTACTTGGGCATCCTGCAAGTTGAAGTCTAGCCTTGCTTTTACATGACTATATTAATTAGATTTCTGCACCCAGCTTCCTGACTTGTCTCTTTCTGCACACACCGGCCACTGAAGAGTTCTCTCATTTGGACTTCCTGATTTGTGGCTTTGAACAATCGGTTGAGGCACTTAACCAAGATTTCCCCCAAGAGACAAAGCGAAACCGCTCTCATTTTGCAGCTCTGAGACAAAGCACAAAATACAGGGCACAGTTATTCAGGCAGTGTTTTTCTTCAGAGAAAAATTTCTCTTCTGTGCAACAGCTGCCGTTACAGAAGGATGTTTTGTAAAGCTGCTAAAGGCACACCAGCAGGTGACCTTCCATCCACGGCAGAGCCGATGACCACCTTTTCTGATATTTCTGTCTAAAAAGATGCTTTGATAGATTTGAGGAATGGGGATGAGACTACAGGTTAGAGAGCTGGATGCCTCTGAGCATACTCTATTCCTTATTTCTTTGACCAAATGACATTTTTCAGTGAATACCATATCCTTAAAGAAAAAGCTTGGAGTATTGACTCATGTGGAGCATAACACCATCTGCACCAAAACTGGCTGCACAAAGATCTGACCTACTACACTTCTAGTAAATTAAAATATCCATTCTTATATGTACTTGCTCCTATTCAAACTGTCCCAAAAATTAGTCATGATATTTAATCTTTTACTCTGGATTTCTATCTATTAGGCTGTTTGCCCTGACAGTGCCTCTAAATAACACAATTTCAAATATCCAGGGTTTCTCTTCACCAAGGAAGCGCTGCCGATTTCATATTGACATTTTCAAAGGTCTGCTTTTGATCAAAGCAGGAATTGGAAGGCTTAAGCCTTTTCTCTTTCAAGTCAGCTTTAAAAGATAAAAGTCTACTGGTAGATTCGCTAAGGAAAAGCTCAGAAGCTATCTGTTTTTAAGAAGAATATACAAGGTATTTGTAAAATTTGTAACGGGACTCAAACAATGAGGACCAGATGGTAAATGATCCTCCCTTTTCACAGGTACATTTCCTCATCCTGTACTTCTCCTGGAAGATTACCTGGGTGGCACACAGCTCAGCAGCCAAGCAGAAAGTTATTGCTCTCGAGCAGATTATGACCTACATAACAGAAGTAAAAACATTAGTTGCCTTGTCAAGAGAATCACTGCTAGGATTGACATAATTTTATGGTCTGCTAATCCGCTGGCAATATTTCTGTTAACTGGGGAAACAGCTTGATATATTCCTGACACATAGAGCAGCCGTTCAGGAGAACTGTATTACCAGGGTAATTGGATCGATTGAGGCAGTTTAACAGTTGTCATTCAGAGATTACTTAACTTTTAATTGAGAAATAGGAAGATTTATGGGAATTAAAGACCTTCACGAGAAACACCTTTCAATCAAGGCAAAGGATATTTCAAATGGTAAGACACACATGGATCTCTCTACTGCCACGCATCATACTCCTATCAAGAAGAAGCCATTTGCTTAAGATTTTCTGCTCCCACTACACCCTTTACCTTTTTTGGGGACGCAAAGGCAGGGAGGGGGCAATTCCAGATCAATATTCATGGATAGTTTGAAACTAATATAGTACCATCAAAGTAACTTGCTCTCCTATTATTGTTAAGCTGGGATTTTTAATACTACCAGGATGAACATGTCCATCACTTGACTTACCAGCTATATTTTATGTACAAGTTTCCTTTGAACATTTTTTGCCCTTAAGACAGTGCTTTAGAAGGGAAAATGAAATCACAACTGCTTTTTATGGTAAAACCTGAAAGTTTAGAAGTAGAAGACAAATGAAAAGCAGTCACAGAAGTTTCCTGAGTTCAAAAGAAAACACCAGATGGGCATAATAGATCTCTGGCTTGCAATAGGGCATGAGATAAGCAATTGACAGGCTACGTGTAGTCTGATAATGAACAAAAGGCATTCAAAACCAAGAAGAAATTATTCTTATATCCAAGGTTGCTATAATTTACGACAGAAGAATTCAAGTCCTTTTTTTCCCCAAGCTAGAACCACCTTCCTGCCTGTTAATTTCACAGTGCAAACTTCGAAGTACGT